ATTTTTCATTTTTCGTCTCTTATGATAATTTCCTCGCCATTGATTTTTTTACATTTCTGTAATTTAATTTCTCTTTTATCTTGTGTTACTTGCCAATGCCCTAATCATTGTTTCTATCTGTTTCTGTCGTCTAATTCCTCTTTCATGTTCCGTTTCTTATTTCTTGTTCATGTTTCTCTTAGATTCTGAAGTGTTTTTTTATCTACTAAGTCTTGGGATTTTTTTTTTTTGCATTTGTTTCTCTAGCTTCCATTGCTTTTGTTCTGCCTTTTCGTATTCCATTCTCTTTCTAGATTCTTCTGTATTTTGCTGTAGTCTAATCTGTTGCTGTTCGGTTCCTCTTAACCTTTTCCCTTTGCCGTTACATTTTCACGCTTCTTTAACCAATTCTCTTTCTGTTCCCTCGTTTTTAAATCTTTTGATTCCTTTTACAATTACACTTTCTGCTGAGTTTCTACTTCTTTGAAAATGATTATTTCCGCTGTTTTTATATAAAAGAACATATTTCTCCTCAGTTGCTGGCAAAAGAGCATTATAATGGCCATTTTTTTCTTCTGAGCTGTAAGTTATCAAAACGGTTCCGTAACTAAATGTTTTAGAAATAGAATTTGAGGTTTTCACTGCGGTGAGTTCGAAGATGGCTGTCTTCTGGGTTGATTCCTCCATCATCTGGGCTTATTGCCCTGATGATGGAGGTAGCAAGGACCTCTGAAGCGTTCGTAAACTTCAGACTACACTGCGCTACAACCCAGAAGACCTTCGTTCTAGAAATAATTCTAGAAATATGCGATGTCTGATTATACGTAATAGAAAATTGTAAATAAAATTATATAAACGCGGCATATAGCCAAGCACCAACTTCTCATATACACATCGTATTAATGTTTCTCCTCCCTCTAACTCGTATCCACCCATTTATTTTATACTTCATGATTCTTCCTTTCAGTGTAATGTGTTCTGTCTCATCGCCTTCCAGAAGTAAGGCTAAGCTACAGGCAATTTCGATTACCAGCGACCTTTTCACTGTGAGCTTACATCCCTCGTATATCTTTAGGTTTTACTTTTATCTCTGATAATCTTCCACAGTAATAATGGCCAAAAACTGTATGCTCTGTAAAAAGAACTATGGATCATGACTCATTGGCCAGACGTAGACAGCAATGGTTTTACTGTCAGTATGCAAACTGCAAGACCGAGAATCTCTTAACGGCCTTACCATAGCAACGGTCATAATAATGTATGTATACAGGCAAACAGTCATAAGCATTTTCCTGTTAATACGTAGGTAGTCTGTGATAAACTGACTGTCCTTTGCCGCTTATGAATATGTTTATCTAAAAAAGAGGGATTTCACCGTATTTCTGTTAATAAATACTGCAAAGTTTCTCGGCATTATTCCATTATTCTTTTGAAACTCTGTATATGCGTTTTTAACGACGGGCAGATGTATATGACCTCTCTATTACGCGCTCGCCTTACTACTTTATTTAATTATCCCAGGTGTGTGACGCTTCAAATTAGCAGTTTATTCTATTATCCTGTTCCTGTAGCTCTATTAAATGCGCATAATCTCCTAGGCGCTTTGTTTCCAGTCTCTGTTTTTATTGAGCCATTAAGCATCATTCCCATAAAACATGTGAAATTGAAGTTTTGTATATTCTAATCCTTGTAAATTTAGGAGGGAGGCATCCAGTTTAGTGTTTCGACTTTAATGTAGATGCTTTCCCTGAAAAAGTCTCAGTGTTCGGAACACTACTTGACAATCAGTAAAGTAAGATAAGACAATAAACTGACAATATAAAACAAGTGAATTCCATTCGTGACCTATTTGCTTGTCTGAACGAAAGATATTTTAATCAAAAGAAAAGCTTTGTAAGTTATCATCTGATTACTCTTGCACAGACTCTGTGGGACGTCCCAGGTTTTAAAACTCGAAAGTAATGAAGTAAAATTTCCATAAAATAATAATTAGAACACATGTTTTTTTTCAAGCATTCGGAACTTTTGTATTGTAAAACGAGACTCTCAAATTCAGAATACGTCGTCGGTATAATTACAACATATCGTTAGAAAACGGAAATTTTTTTAAATCTGAAGTTTTAAGAATATGATGTGTTATTTAAACATCAAACTTCTGGTACATTATCCATGTATATTTTCCTTTTTTTTTGTTTTATATAATTGGTTTATTTAACTCTTGTTACGCACACGTGATTGCATTTACACTTTTGCTGACCATCAAATAATTTTGTATTGTTTGTTGAGGCATGCCATTATTGAGAAGGCCTGTTCTATGCAAAAGAAGTGTGTGAAAAATAATAACAGTAAACATTGGATTTGGATGATAATATTAAACTGGATGTTAGCGAAATAAGTTATGAAGGGTGGACAGGATTGAACTCATTATACGACGTGCGATCTGAAGGTTTCAAGACTGCGCGTATAAAAACCCGTACACTTATCTCAGGTATTAAATTCATCCATCACCCTCGTAGTAGTTCCCCTGGGAGTGAACACAACGATCCCAACGCCGCTGCCAAGCCTGGAAGCATCCCTGGAAATCTTTCTTTGTCAGCCTGTCAAGCACCATCTGCGATTCTGCCTGAATCTCTTCTATCGTCTCAAATCTCCTTCCCTTTACCTGAATTTTCTTCTTTGGGAAGAGGAAGAAGTCACACGGAGCTAAATCCGGCGAATAAGGAGGGTGCAGGATGACGGCCATGGTGTTTGAGGCCAAAAACTGCCGAACTTTGAAGGCGGTGTGCGCTGGTGCGTTGTCATGATGCGTCGCATGTGGAGTTCTTCCTTTAGAATCAGCGTACAGGTCCCATAGCCTATCCCAACAATGTCGCACAAGTCGTTGATGGTACGACGACGATCTTCGTAACATTTTCGGGCGTTGTGCGCGAAGATGGTCGTCCAGAACGCTCGTCATCATCGACAGAGGTTCGGCCATTTTTAAAACGTGAATGCCACACAAAAGTTTGTGCACGACCCATTGCGGACTCCCCAAATGCTTGCTTTAGCATTTCATAGGTTTCCGTAGCCGTTTTGGCGAGTCTTTGGCAAAATTTGATGCACACGCCATTCCGAAATCGCAGGAGGGTCGGTGTAATGCACTACAAAAACGCCCGTAACTAAGAAACAATTCAGGCAGAATCGCAGATGGTGCTTGACAGGCTGACAAAGAAAGATTTCCAGGGATGCTTCCAGGCTTGGCAGCGGTGCTGGGATCGTTGTGTTCACTCCCAGGGGAACTACTTCGAGGGTGATGGATGAATTTAATACCTGAGATAAGTGTACGGGTTTTTATACGCGCAGTCTGGAAACCTTCCGATTGCACCTTGTAGCATCGAATTGTGTAATTTATAAATACGATGATGAACTTGGAGTTTTTTGAAGACGCAGTATTTATTAAAGAGGCTGTCTTTGGGGATGATACGGCGTGTAGTCCAGTAGAAAGTGACCGATGCTTCAGAGGCGCTGTGAAGGAGAAAGTCTTTGTCATAAGATAAAATCTGTCAGAGCATTTCTTAGCCAGTCGAGTAACTACCAACCTTTGAAGAAAATCCTGCATCATAGAGTTAGTTACTTAATAGAATAATTACAAAATAGTTTAATCAATAAAATGTCTGGCTACAGGGTGGACGCCCGAGGGCAGGCGTCGTTCGATTCCCGGTGTGTGCAGCAATTATCCCTTCTCTTTTAAGTCAACACCGACGTTAGACCCAATCAGTTTCCTTTCCGTTGGGTACAGATCTTTTCCTTAGAGTAAAGCAGCCACAGCGGGAAACTGATCACATAACTCTGTCCAACGCCGCCGAAGTACAGAATGCGTGAAGATTTACATTGACGTCAGCTACACGCTTTTATGGAGCACTGCTTGGGCGCTTCATCTTATGTAGTTAAAAACTAGTAAAATATCCATTCTACTTAGGCCTTATCTGTAATCATAAGGTTTGAGGCATTAAAATAAAAGTGTCACGCTGTCTACTGGAAATATACTTCCTATTATCCAAAATTATGAGTCCTATCTTTAACAAACTACGCTTTTAACATTTTATTTAATGCCCTCATTTACTAATCTTAAAATATGCCCCAGACTGTTATTTCAGTTCCCATAGCAAACCTGTAGCTGTCTTTATCATCACTTTACAGTCACATAAATTTTAATTCTTCAACAAAAAATGGCTAATTTTCATGCTATTAAGTCCGAAAATATGACTCGTGAACATCATCTAGAATTTTACTTTGCCCAATGGGTTGAGTTAAATGTTTATTTTATAATAATCTAATTAATTGCCTTTGCACTTGTCTTTATATGAGTTAATTAATTTCTGTAGCACGAATGTAAAACGCAGGAGAGAATTGCAGGCTCCTGTTTCAACAACTGCTGTAGTTTATGAGGAAAAACGAATTTTAAACATAGGTCAAAGGTTAACGTTTTTGTTTAAAAAACTTGGCTGACGCCTGTTTAATTAAGAAAGCTTTGGATGATTTACGCATAAAAATAAGAACGAGCTGTCATTCAGCAGATTCACTCGTAGTCGTGTTTTCTGTCTGTCCAGATTTTATTTTCTAAATTACGGAATGAATATCTATTAAATTTGGAGGCATAAATTAAAACTGTTGGGCGATATTAATTTTAATATTTACAATATGACCGCTACTGTGCATGATATTGAAATGACGCAATATCTAGTTTCACAACACAAACTCATCATAGAAAGAGTTGACATATTATCATATGTCAACTCTTTCTATCTTCTTAAGATCTATAACTCTTATTTGAATCAACTTTCGATATCCATTACGTTTTACATAACACATAAACATAATATCTGAATCTCCAATGTGATATATGTGTCGAAAATCTGAACATCGAAGGTATTCAGATTTGTAAAACAGAAAAGAATGTATCTGGACATCATAGGTTTTCAGTGGCGTACAACTTAACACCCGTGTCGCAAGAAAGACAGATTATGTTTCTTTGTTTGCAGACACGGGCTGGTGGCTTCCGTTAGCTCACACCGTTGATTTGACCCTGAGGAGGGAGGGCTTCGTGGTCCGTCATCTTGTCATACTACCCGATATCTCGATGTCCGTTGAAAGACTAACTGCTAAGTTAGAGCCGCTGAAAACCTCGCCTTGTAGGGGTAAGTAAGCTTCTAACATTCTTTGATAATTAGATAATCCTTGTCTCTTATTCCGAACATACAACTGCATTTGATATCTTATAGACCATTTCAGAAAACCTGCTAATTAAACCAAAATATTTCATGCTGTTCCCATATTGTCATTTTTCATTCTCCTCAAATGTTACCCAGACGAAGGCTGCACATTTCTCGAGACTTCCAGCTGCATAATGGATTCTGATATGTTGTACATTGAATGGCGTTTCGGTTTTGTCTCACGACACAAGTTTGCTAGGCCGTCATGTTCGTATTGCTGATGGCTGGTAGTTAAATTGACAAGACCATTTGGCCTTCAGCGACACGCTGTTTGTCAGGCAAACTGGTCAATAACTAACAGTGCAAATGGGATGGTAACCAACCTCCTCCATGTATACTAACTATAGGCTGTCACTCCATTTGAAAATCAATGGCAGTCGGAAAACTTTGCTGCTACGTGAGCAATCTGTCCTGAACTCTTCCGAATTGTGTTCAGGTAACCTGTCATGTCTGTTACAAGTCATTAGGGCACTCCATTCTAGTCCAGCGGTTGCCTGAGGATAACGCCCTTTTACCCAACTTCTAGCTCTGACAATTTCTCTCATTTCAATTCTGTCAATTTTAAGGTAACGAGAATTGCATTTAAATATTCTTCATGAGTTTAGCGAGACTCCTTTGAGCAAAGTGTATGAATGCGTCGCGTAATGACGTCATTGAGACTCGGAAATAAATTTAAACATGTTGAATGTATACTGAGTTTAACTTAACCATTTAAAGCCCACTGGTAATTATATATACCACCTGTTTTAACAAAGAGTAACTCTGCATTTTGTATTTGTGAGTTTTGTGTGACTCTCAGTGCAAACAGGGAGTATTTCTTTTCCAACATTAACCAGATCGTCTTCGAAATGGAGAAGTGTTGTTTTCTTTGAGGTACGGATCAGATTCTTAACTCGAGCTTCGGCCTTACGTCTTTACTTCCAACCTTTACGAAACCTACCTTTACTAGAAGGACGAGTGGGAACTGTCTGGGAACCTTCGTAGCAGAAATTTTGCGTAAATCTCCTCCCCCACGGTTAAATGTAGTGGCTATCTCTACTACCCCAGTTTATATTGTTCCTCTTTATGGCTTCAAAGGGTTGATAAAGAAATATTTGTTTACGTCAGATATAAAAGGAGGTGGGAAGACTATGTGGACAGACAAAGGCAAATGGTGGAGAGCTTGAAATTATAAACCTCATGTCCGAATAAAAAGATAAAGTCACAAGGGGAGGAGATAGAAATGACTTTGAGGCTGGTAAAGACACAAGTTGCTTAAACTCGTGCTTCAGTCTAAGGCTCGCTGGACTTGAATATAAAGATTGGAGCCCTCCAGCCTATTAAAATTACTCATAGCATGAGTTAGTAATTTTATAAAATAATTACTAATGAATGCTAATGATGTGTTTGACGTAATTTTACCTTATAAAATTGAAATTGTGTATGGATGTTCGCTTATATGTCGAGGTAGAATAAACCATTTCATCCCCCAAGATTGGCATACTTATGCCCTGAAGTCAAGGGGAGATTTTAGAAAGGTCGAAACTCTGAAGTTCGAATTCCATGAAGAGGGGTTTCTGTAACTCGGAAACTAAGAACGAAACAGCTTTCTCGCCAGCGTGTCTGTTGCGGGTGTTAGAGAGTATGTATCCATGGGTCAGTAAGAGAAACGGCAGGCAGGCAGGTCTATTGATGGGAGAGACTGAGCCAGATGACCTGGAAAACTTGTATACACCCTGTGGAGACTCGCTGCTACCTTCTATACTAATATGGACACCGTGTTCCTGTGGCAGACTTGCGTTCAGAACACCGGTGACAAAGACTCGACGACCATTGCAAAAACGCGCGCGCTCTTACGCACAAAGAATGAAAACTGTACAAGATGCAGAATGTGTTTTCATCCGCGAAGATCCTTGACGAAGTACAAGAGGAGGATAAGGAAAATTATAAGCTCGAGAAAAGTAGACGATACAGGATACAAGATACGGGACAGAGAAAAATATAATCAGGAGCGTTAAAATTTGTATTTTTGCCTTATATTGTTATGGGGGTGAAAATTTTATACATATTTATCGAAGAACCTCGGTGGGAAGACTTAGGGACCACAGGAGCAGTTTGGACGATAATATTAAAGAAGGTGATGGAGTGAATTCAATTGGTTCACGATAGGGAGTAATAATATGCTCTATAGTAATCACTTTATGCATTAAACGGTTGTAAAGCAACAAAATAGCAGTCTTCCCGTAGTTATAGGACACAGACAGCAATGTCTGAGCTGTCATTCGTTACTAATTTACACCAATAATACCAAACGTCCTGTGAAGATCGCGCGCCAATGGGTTCTGTTTTTCTGACCGATACTGACCAATATGACGTCAAGTGCTGCAGCAGATTTTATAAAGCTTTTGACAAAACATTTTTTATCCGTGACGTAGGTCTGTTTCTTTGTGGAATCATCGAACACCAAACGGATATCCCTTCCCTCTGTGTTTAATAAAGAGCTCAAAAGGTAAAAAGAAATTGTGCGTATTGGTAAACTAAATCTTCCTTTCCGAAATGAAACTCTGTATTACCTTTACAAAAAAAGAAGTACGTCCAAGTAACTGATTACATAGAGCAGAATCTTTCAGAAGCAAACAGTCTACAGCTGTCCAATAAATTCTCCGCCTTTTGTGGAACCAAACATTCTATTAGCGTGTGTTTAGAAGAATTCCCCACTGGCACTTATCCTGAGATAGATAAATCGAACCCACGCCATTACTGTTTATTTTTAAGACTTATTTTAATGATATCCTGTATCTATGTCTAGGTATTTCAAGTAGTGTATCTTCAGATTTTATGACTTAAATTATCTCCCCTTTAATTTATGGCTAAGTAGTGATTTTTGGTAAAGAACATACATTATAAAACTTATATTTATTATCTTATAAGTACTGGAAAATACTTATTAAACTCCTCGATGGGTATTGGTTTCGCTGTGAACAGGCACTTCAACGACTGTTTCATAGTTTGATTGTTCATATCAAAGTTGACCGTCGAGTCATATGAAAACTTCTTAATGTGCCTTGCGTACAACATTAGTTCAGATCATTCGCCAAGCCCTTACTGTGAAAATAAATATCTCAGTAGAAGAAATGTAACACCTGATGAATCTGCCGTGCTGTGTCGCGTGGTCTCGTTGTGAGATCAGCAAGAATAACTAGTAACCATGGCAACGTAGCTTTTCATTTACTTTCCAAGAATCTCAAGCAGGAGTTCCATAGAATACCTCGAAGGTAGTATTAAATTTAATCGTGGAACTTTCAACTAAGGTAGCAATAACGTGACCCCTAGAGCAGCGGTTTTTAAACTGTGGTACCGGTGCCCCTTGGGATACCAGAGATGCATTACAGGGGTAAATCCCCTTTCATATACTAGCTTACAGAATTAATTAAACGCTAGCTTTGACCAATCCTATAGTTTATGTACTTATCGCATTTAAATTTGCTGTAACCAAGCTGTACTGTGTACTTAGTTTTCTATAAAAAAATTCAAATGTAAGTTGTGTATTTTCCATGTCTTTTTTCATGGGGTACGAGACTTGACTTAATCAGGGGTACAAGGCACAAAAAGTTTGAGAACCCTTGTCCGAGGGGTGGGGACAAGAGGACTCGATACTGTAATGTGGGTATCAATCTATGCTTTAGGATATTCGAGTTCTTTGATAGATGTTGTTAAAACTTGACATTTGGAACTTCTAAAGGATGTATAGAATATCCATGTTAGTTTTAATTGAAGTCGCTGATTCTGGGGAAAGCCACCAGCGTGTTAATATAAAGTAAACTAGTGCCAACGAAAACGTTATCTAGCCTCTTCTTGTTCTGTTTGTTGCCTACTGATGTGAGTTTTTTCTATGTTGTTCCCACAGCGATCATTCTCTGTCTTCCACTTCTGGGCTCAGCGCTAACAGACAATCTTCTCTTAGCCATCAGTTCGCTTAGGTTGGCTCATCTGCCGAACACCACTCTGATCGCTGTTCACTTGACATCGGTCACACCATTCCTTCCTGTCCCTCCAACAAGCTCAGAATCATCCTCCATCCACGAGCCCACCATGATCGCACCAACTACGCACACTTCAAGTCCTGAAGGCTACACATATCTCCAAAACCCTCGACATAACGCGAGGCTTTCTCATAAACACTCTTCTACGCAACTGCCTAAAGTAGCTCAAACATCTCACGAAACTTTCACTTCATCAGACTTCCTGTCGACCTCAGAACACACAGGTACCAGTCCAAGTTATATCAGAATCGATATCACCTCCAGAGCGACTCAAACACGGAGACTTTCGAGATCGATACCTGGTAGTGGTACCAAGAACATCTTGGGACCCTCCGGGGATACAAGCACCAGGTGGATGAGATATTTACCAGCGGAAGCTATGAGTCAGGCGACCAAGAGGGCCATGTTGGTGTTAACTGTGACAGGCAGTGCTGTTAGTGTGGAGGAACTCTTCAGCCAAGGTCCCTCTGCAGGCAACTTTAGTCGGCATCCAGAGGTGAGTGCATCAGCCTGTGCGTGTTCCTGACAGGCCAATATTCTATCTTCATGCCACGTAATCCTATAGTATTTTTGGTAAGTTAACTGCATACGCGTATGGAAGATATATATTATGGAATGATTTAGTGAAGGTAGAACTTTATAACTTGCACTATTCGCGAAATAGCATTACGGATATCAGATCAAGGATAATGAGATGGGTGGAACGCGTAGCATGCATGGAATAGATGAGAATTATATACAACTTTTTAGTCTAAACATATGGAGGAAAATTATCTCTTGGCAGACGTGAGCTGGGCGTAGATGGGTATAATATTAAAGTGTACGCTCGTATTAAAATATGTGAGTACGATAAAAACAATGAATTTCTTTAACAACTAATTGTCTATTGTTTTTTATAAAATGATCCTCTACCACTGAACTCGTTATACTGATGTACTGGACATGGGCGTTTTTGTAGGATGAATGGGAACTATGGCAACAAGTGAAGGAAGCTTTGAAGGTACTGTTGAGTACAAGAAACAGGAAACATCAACACAGTTCCGCGGTACAGCACGATAGCGGCTGTTCTGATGATGGCTGTGCTTACCGCTTTGTACTGCTGGACTGGTTCGAGGAGCTGATAAACGCGACGGCAACGAGCAACATGGTTGTGGGGAAATGGCGACCGCTTCTGCAGATTGAAGCAAGTAAGAGGCAAGAAGCCAATAAGACGAGAAATGGGTCTCGACTCCTCTTGGTTCCGCTGATTCCACTGTTGAAAGACTGGGCCAGAATAAAAAAAGAAGGCGTTACGTGTGAATTTGGAGATGATGACAGTTGTGTGGATTCTGAGCAGACAGGTAAGAACCTGAGAGACAGACCTCTTTGTAGATACAGTTGGCCACTGCCCTATTCTTTCGTGTGAATACTTCATAATAATCAATTGCAACTCAAAATGGATGAGATGGGTGGGGCATGTAACACTGTGCTTCCAACTTTCTGGTCGGGAGGCCTGAAGGGAAGAGAATACTCCACCGAACAAGAGAACACGAGGCATAGATAAAATAATATAAAATGGATCTTTGGGAAATAGGAAAAGTTGGAGAATCTTGCATATTCATGTCCAGGATTTCTATAATTAGAACCGAGTTTTGTACGAACAGTACAACATAGATGTGTCCCATTGCAGGAGGTTCAGAGCTGATACTGAGAGGAGCGCACATAGCAGCGATCGTCATCTGTTCAGCTCTTTGCGCTGCCGTCCTCGTCATCGCTGGAGCCGTTGCTAGGTAACAGATTTTTGTTAATAGTTTACACGATTTAAACAATGAAATTCGATCCACAATTACGTGAGGGATATAAAGCCATTTATTGGGTGTGAAGGAAACTATACAAATGTAAACATGCCCTGCTGATTGCATGGAGCGCGGTAATGAAATCCACGGATCTCTCTGACATGATAAACTCCATTCGAAACTGTCACAGCTGATTATGATTTACTAGTGAAAACGAGTTCATTTGTTTAGAAATAAAGAGGACGTGTGTGCCTATTTACAAGAGGTATTCAGTTTTCAGTTTCTTTGGTGCCAGAGGAAAAGAACGCAGAAAACTGAGCGTTTGATATACGACGGTAGTTCAAAACATTGTCGCAAATCCTCCATACGGATTTCGATTTATTTAATATTGGATTTCCCACAGAAATATTATTTTTCCTTCTTCATCCGTGAATATTAATCTGTATCTTTAAATTGTTTAATGTTTTCTGTACTGGTATGCTCTGTACGCTTTGAGGCAGCAGCGTCGAGGTAGTTTAAACATCGGTTTAAAGTTGAAACATAGGAACGTTTAGGACATGTAGAAAGAAACTCTTTTGCACTGGCTTGTTGTGGGTCCCCCAGCAGCCGTTTATGTACGAGGTAACTAATTTTTTTATTCCATAAAGGCGGAAGATAATTTTTTTAACAGCTTTCATATAGTTTGTTAGTATGTTAATTGGTCACTTGAATTTACCTTTTTATTTTACTTTCGTGTGCCTTCGTTGTCTAGTACTTAACGCCATTCTCTTCATGTGTAGAAAGCCCCCTGTTTGTTCTGCAGTATTTGTGTATTTACAGAGAATGAAACGAGCTTCTCACGTGTTATCCACGGACGATGTGCGCATAATAAAGCAAATCCAGCCGTTTAAGCGGAAGGGTTGTCTTCTCTGAGAGACGGTTAAAGTGGGAACTATCACACTGAACAAACTAAAGCACTTCTAGGTGTAAAGGACACTGCAATTTATTGCCGTGGAATTAAAATGAGCAAGCAGAACACAGTGGCTTCACGATCTTTGAGATATCAGCACCAGGATCACGATTTCGAAGGCATTTCCGCTCTTGCGTTGTTTTACCGTGTTATCGAGTGCAGGAACTGTTGTCGATAAAGATCGATCCACAGTTCGACGAGTCGTGTTCATACCCAGAGTTTAACAGGTGAAATTAAATAGAAAATTCCATGGAAATAAAAGAGTAGGAGAGTTTTCTTTCTTCTCATAAGTCCAATTAATCTTATTAGGATCTTTCCTTGTGTCTGCCATCCAGATGTGGCAGATTTCGATGCCGTTGGTGGTATGAGTCAGTAGAAACAAATTCATGGCAGTATCATGTTTGAATATAAACGAATTAGAATTAGTATCTCCTGGCTGTTGTATTATTTTGAATTACATATTCCCCCATCCTTAGTGTATTTGTTGGGGGTAAATTATATATTCTTAATTTGAAAACACGGTATTACAGAAATAGGATTTCATATAGCAGGAAACGTCCAGTTATTATTATTTGTAATCCCATTTATTTTTCTTTATGCTTTATAGTTAAAAATCGTTTCTTTTTCCCACTATTTCTTATTAACATTTTGGTCTTCATGCATATAAAATAGAACTTTCTCGAACTTCCCCCGTGTTAAAAGTCGCCGTCTCTTTATTCTGTTAACATCTATAATACAACAGAAGCTAGACTTATTAATCATCTCGTTAGCGTTAAAAGGTCGTTCTTTCCACTCTCGTAGTAAATTTGCTGCCCCCAGTGGTTGAACGTAGCACCTTAAGCCGTTCAGCTCTATAATTGCGTCATAAAATACTGCACGAAGTTAGGTTAAAGTTGTGTATTTATTCCATATTTTCTTATGAGTTGTACGCATAAATATTTTAATACTGAAAAACCGTATAAAATAATATGAGAAGACTGGGAAAAGGATTTTTATAAGTCTGTTTATTACTGGAACATGACCTGAACTTTCAGTATCACAGTTTCTGTAGCCACAGGTGTAAATATAGTCGCGGGGCTATAAATATGTCGTTATGACGGATCATTCAGCCGGTCGCGTGGTCTGCGCTTGGAATTCCGGCCAGTAAATCTGTTTTGCTACCTCTGTCGCTCCAAATGGGGTTTGTGATGTCTTAAAAAATAAACGATACGGATATGGTTTTAAATGAATCTGTTTTCATAAATATTCATAGTGCAAACTGGCTGAAGATGTCAGGAGCACAGATATTTATGGAGAGTTTTCCAATATTTGAAATGTCTGTCTCTGTACATCTCAGAAATTTAGGAAGAAATAATGAACTGTTGCAGCTAACATCTTGTGAACATTAATATCATCAGCCACAGCTTCAATTTCTACACATAATTTAGTTGTTTGAGGAGTGTTCCTTAGAAGTACTTTAACAAGTCTCCATAATTTTATTATGTCTTCCGTAGTTGTGTACTGTGAGTATCGTATTTACGAAAGTATAGCTTATTTTAAAACATAACGTTTACCTTTGAAGACTCTGTAAATAGAATTAACTGTAAACAGATGTTTTATATAAGATGGACCATTTTTGAGAAAATTGATACGCAACTATTTTAACTTTCCACAAACGTTTCAATTGACCCATGTACATCACAGTTAAACTGCATTCTTCGGCTTCAAACTCGAAGTTAAATCGAAATTCGTTCAGCATTTTCGAATATGAAATAAGCGGACGAACAGAACAGACGCGTTCTCCCAATTATGAGTTTTTTCATGCGGACTGTGTAAATTATGCATTCAATACGCATACAGTTCAACTGTTATTTGAAAAATGAATAATGGCATTAATGCGTTTAACGAAAATATTGTTACAAAATTTGTTGACTGTATCTGCGTCTTTGTGTAATATGTTTTGAAATTCGCGTTGATAAAACCCCGCATATCGTACTCAGACGATTTCTCTCGTAGTACCTCTGGATGGTTAATGTCTTCCCAACTCCTGTACCGGACTGTTTTCACGGGACAGAGGGACAGACGAATGAAAGAAAGAGAAGTCTAGCATTGCCGTTCCTGTGTCATGGCTCACGCGTTTTCTCCGTTGATAAACTGAGCACTGCCTATCCTATCTTGATAGACATGATGATATGGGTTCTTGCAGGAAGCAACTCCTGAAGAAGAGGATGTCCAAAGGGCCGTACAAAATTCTCCTCACGCCATCTGACTTCGTGTTTCCTCACGTCGCTGATTCTCTTAGGGTAAGTAAACACTGACTGTCTGATCTCACTCACAGGTATCTGCAGACTCTCTTGGAACACTTCGGCACACGGGAGAGGGCATCAGTTTTTATCATTATTCAAGGTCACAACAAAATTATAAAACTTTGCAACACGAACAGGAGTCCAGGCTTTTGAAGATAGCACAGAACCCGCAGCGTAGCAAAGCCAGCAACGCTCTACTGTAGACTAAGGGCCGCGCAGTAAGGGGTCCCTTCGTGGTCTTGAAGCATGCATTTTTGTGGTACTTTCTATAGGACAAGAACTAAAGTGAACGATATCTATTCCATATGCACACACCAGGTAGTTCCTCACATGTCTTTTACAGACAAGCATGCAGACGCGTGTATGCATACCTGTATGTGTTAGACGCGTGTATTTTCGTATAATTTACGAACTTACGTATTTACTAATGCCAGAAGTGTATTGTCTCAGATATGCGTGGATGAAATGTGAGTCCCGAATGGTAAAAATGATGTAACACGTTCTATGTAAATTCCCACAAAACGCAACACGAAACATTTTCTTTACAGGTTGACGAAGGCATTGAAGCAATGCTGTGTTGTTGGTTACAACAGCTGCAGGAATTTGGTGGACCAGAAGTCGATAAGCCTGATCTACTTAAGGGTTCTATAGGTTCCTTAAGGTCTCACCCGCAGGCTAAAAGCGCTGGCAGTACAACTAGCCTGGCTAGAAACCTTATGATGGACCCAAAAGCAAGATACAATGTAAGTGCCTTCGGAAGCAAACCAAAGATAACAATTGACTGTAGTTTATATAAGTAAGTTTAAACCCAGTGCGCAATGTCGCGGCTGCCGGTCTCTGGCGATGTCGGTGACTTTAATCACGTCTGCACTTTATCGAAGCTAATCCCTTAGTCACTTCAGTTCATGCAGGTTACAGTCAGAAAGATACTTTGTTCTATGATCAGTTCCTAACAGGTTAGTGACATTCACACATTGTGTTTCGTAAGTCTGGGGCCATAGAAGAACTCTTGTTATTTTCCAAATAAGGAAACATGTAAAGAAGGAAAAGTTGTTGCCAGTCACGTGTTTCCAGGCCCAGTTTTTGGAAATTTTTACGTAGGACGAGCTGTTACCGCTCTACAGCCTTGCATTATCAGTAGTCAATATTTACATCGATGTTGAGATATATCGATCTTAAAAATAATCACCAACACTTGTATAATTAAATTCTAAATTATTTGTCAAAACAAACTCCCCTGTTCAACATTTCGTAGTAGGCGTGTTTTTCGGTGTTGGGGTAACATCCCTCTCCAAACTCCCAAGTTGCAAGAGACGCCTTCCTTGTTCGGTACCTTTACAGCTACCCTGCGTTCTCATTGCAAACGGATCGAGTCGATAGCATGAAGAGGTGATAGCATCGTTGAGCTGGTTCAGTCACGCAGAATTTTCCGTAGAACAGAATTCCATTCAGATACGGAGTTTCGTAAGCGGTCGTCCTGTTCTCATCTGCGCCAATTGATTTTACGTCGCTGTGTATGAAGAAGTCGGACAGAAAAGTTCTTACGTAAACCCATGTTTCAGCCGTACACATTTCAGTAATGATTTCGTTTCAGGGGGATTTGGTGCAACTGAAGGAAATCCCTGTTCAGGGAGCGTTCGAACTGAAGAGCAAGGCCATGGATGTGCTCGTTACGGTAAGCATGATTACCAAACTTGTAAGAAACTGTGTCAGCAAGCGAACTAACTCACTCCGTGGGGCAGAGCCCATTTTGAGGAGCTTGAAGTCAATAAATTACCCACTCTGTATGAGACCTAAATGTTCATAACCATGTTTGCAACAGCCCGACACTGGACCCTGTTCGGAGGCAGTTAAATCCAGTCCACGCTCTCAAATCCAGTTTAATTAAGACAAAGTTTAAACTTGTCTATGGAAGTAAAGGTGATGTATTCAAATTTTCAAGACAGTGGGTTTTGTACTTAATGTTCGTAAAAGTCTCCATATTCAGTGTCAAAACATGGGTGGAAATTTATGTGCAAGTGGCTTACACGTTTTTAATTGTTTTATTAAATATAAAGTGCGTATAGTTCGTTAAATGAACGCCATGTAGAATAGTTGTTCAATGTTTTCTGCTTAATGATAAGTATAATTTGCATTGGACAGTGTACAAATCTATTTACGATGAATCGAGTTTGAGAAAATCAGTAAACCTTAATATCATCCTTATGCAGCGATAAAGTCATTCTTCTTTTGAGTTGTTTGCATCCATTTAAACGAAGAAGTTTAAGATGGACAGGAAAAATCTATTACTTTCAGAGAGGATATTACAGGAGTAAGGTCAGAAACCCGAAAAACTGCCCTGAATTCGAATCTCGGTACAGACTTTGGGTTTAGGGATACTTTTTTCTACAACATTCAACGATACGTGACCCTCGAGCAGATATACGTGATACATAGAAACCCACAACTAGATCCCCGATGATTTTTCAAATTTCGACACAAGATGCCGTCTTCTGCGCAGATGAACCTAGCAATATCACAAGACTCGACGCTAACAAATCGACTCCGAAAAGGACGCCATATTTAGCACATCAGATCAGATCTAAAATTTAGCCAGAAGCTCCTGATCGATATTCTTTTATCCGGGGGTGAAACGGCCGGAGCGTGAACAGTGATTTTGGTCTCTCTTACATAAGCCATAGACATCCAAGGTCCATTCACTATTATCCTGAAGATTGAGGAAGCAGTTTCTTCCCAAACGTTACTAATAATCTACAGACCTACGCGGTGTCAGAATCCACAACACCGCATTTCTTTAATATCACCGTCGTTGAAGTACAAATCTCAGTTAATGGAATTGTATTTTTGTACATTTTAATCTTTAGGATTTTAGGTGGGGCAAGGTAAGATGAAAGTTTCTGAACCGAATGGTATTAACTGTAAGCATTCCCGAGATTTAAACTGCTCTGACACCGGTGAATGAGAAGGATAACTATTGCTGTGTCTGCTGGACCACGCAAGAATTCGTTTCAGTATTTCAAGTCGTGGGGGAGAGTTTCCATATCCGAGAGGTAAGCGACAGAACTAAATCTCTCCTGCTAACGCGGCTCTGAAACCAGTAGCTTGGAAATCCCATCGCCGAACGGAACGTTAATGGATATCATGCAGTGTTATGAAGAGGCACTTTGATTTTTACGGAAAAGAAAAGTGTGCTGGAGCGGCCTAGTTCATCCCTTGATCTGTTTTTTTCTGTTTTATTTTAAAACGAGGAGGTGATCCCACCACTGTCCTTGCTAAAAGAACCGATATTTCTTTAGAACTCCTTGAGTTTTGTTAATACTCACGCATTTTGTCTTTTATATTAGCTGTTTTGTCTCAACGTCTTGAGATCTTGGTCGAGCTTCATTTTATTTGTGTACTTTATAGCAGACTCTGGCAGAATCAAAAATTAAAACAACTCACGTCACATCTTTATAGCGAGGTGGAACAGTGAAGGCGTTCCTCAAGTCTATTTGTGTCAGATGTCTAAATTGTAGAAGCTGAAAGAAGAAACAAACTGAAGAAGATATTCAGTAATTGACTGCAGTTATTTGAACGTCCAATGATTTTGCTGTAATAGGAATCACAGGGCAAGGAATAGTGAAACTTGTATTTGTGGAAGGAATTCGTTCCTGCATTAAATTAAAGTTCGGGGCCTGTAGCACTCATTGGTAAGAATAAAAAATACGTACAGAAATGTGTTCGTAAGCCTAAAGGGAAGATGACGCCCACAAGACTTGGCTTGGATTGAAGGATAATACTAAAATGGATCTAAAGACAATGGGGTGGGCGGGTGTGGATTGGATTCATGTGGATTAGAATACGGGCCGATGGCGGCCTCCTTTGGTCCCGGTAATGAACCTTTGATTTCCATAAATTGCGGAATATTTGACTACCTGAGCAGCTATCAACTTCTTAAGGACGATTCTGCTTCATTGAGTTTGTGTTAAATGGAAACTTTTCTTAACAGAAATATTAAATTATAATCAGATTTTACTGTTGTTATATTCTTAAGGTTTAGGTCTATGTATGCTGCAAATGAGAACTCTTTTCTTGAACTGAAGGACCCCCTCCAAGTCTAGAGCGTAGGTTGTCTTAGAGTTCTTTGCAGAGGTTCAAGCAATATGCTGATGCAATGATAGAAGTAATTTGTTACTGCATCTTGCTTCTTGTGGATTCGACGCCATGTTTGGTTCATCTCGGAGAAATATGAAGTACTGCCCTCTATAACAAGGAAACTGGTTCTGTCAGAAAATACGCGGGTCGTCCCACCAAGAGAATTATTGACAGTAGCTTGTTAGCAAGATGCAGGACAAAATCACGATAAGAAGAGAACTAATGAAGGTTTTGAGTATGTGACAAGGATCATATATTTTGTAATGGCAGAAACAAATCAAGAAAAAGTTTACCAAGAACTCCAGAGAAAATTAAATTTGGAAAAGGCTTGCTGCTATCAGGTTTATGATATTTTGTCTTCCTGTCTCCTGTCTAAGAACCTGCGGAACAAAATATAACAAAAACTGTAGCTGTATCTATTGTTTCTTTGGGTGTAAATCTTTGCCTCTTTCCATAGAGAAAGAACGTAGATTGACGGTGTTTTAAGAACAGATACGGAGGAAAATAACTCAAATTGGTCCCATTGTCAAGTAACAGGGAAATGTAGACCGTTGCTTGATAGAGAAATTCGTATTTTGAAGGAGAGTAGTCATCATACGATGTTCACAGAACTTCTTGTTATTTAGACGTGTAGTGAACATTTATGGTTGTTAATATATATTTTTATTATTACAAATTTAATCATTGTCATTCCCGATCGGAATAATAAATTTTATTGAATAAATCACTGAGAAAACATGCTTGTTTATAAGATAGGTGATTCTTCAGACCCCTAAAGTGTACCACGCCAATTCTTTGTATGCAGGTACACGGGTTGCGACACGAGAACCTGAACGTAATGATCGGATGTCTGACGGACGCCAATCGACCAGCACTGGTCCTGGAGTGGTGCAGTCGGGGATCGCTCGAGGACGTTCTGGTTCAGGACGAGATCAAGTTGGACTGGTCCTTCCGTCTGTCGCTCCTTACAGACCTCGTGCGGGTGAGTAAGAGCATTATTGATAATGCTTTGGGGCTGGGTTAGGTTAAAGTTCAGCCCTAAATACGGAGACAATATATTCCACCGAAACATCACTGGCTATAACGCTAAGAACTACCACGTGTAGCTCTAATAGTGCACGTGATGTACTGTGGTAACACTCGTGCCATGTATTGGCGATGCCAATTTCGTGTCTTTGCCGCGTGACCGACTACCCTCATCTTGGCTCTTCGTGGTTTTTCTCAGCCCCTCTAGCTAAAAATTCCGTAATAGTATCTTCATTTAGGCCATAATCGTCTCCTTTAAAATCCTAATCTGCTCTCCATTCCTAATCATCTTCTAATCTCATGTGGCCATATATAAATTCTGTAATTGAAACAGATTCGATAAATTTACCTTACAGTCGTAAGGATCGATGTATGATGTGGCATAGGTCTAATCTTTATACAACTTAGCAGTTTTACATTTTGAGCAGGAATTAAATGCATTACCTGTCTAAAATGGTGTATAATTCAAAGACAAACGTATTTGGATCGGGAGAATTCTCTGATAACAAGAAATGAAAGCAAAGACGAAAAGAGTTGTTATAAAATAATAACAGTTTTTCAGTTAATGGTAAAATAGATTAGCGAAAACTAGGATTTGCGGGACGGTAATATTCCATGGACCAGTGGCTGAGATAAATTACTTATAAATTTTCCTATTTAGTGTACAATATTTTGTTATGTGAATGATTCCATGAGGTCATTGCTATGCTTATTTAAACTCCAAGAGGAAATATTCGCCGATTAGGATCTGCATTGTTTTTGCACTAACTTCAATTTAATTACGCATTACTGCGAGAAAAGCCATCTGTGCTTCAAATTACCACGCACGGCAAATCAACTTTCAAACCTGAGAACAATAGAAAGGTAGCTGATTCGGAAAACAGGATATTTAGGCTAACTACGCTATTTGTCTGAATAGTGTTGCTATTAATTTACTTCAATAGGGCAGATTACAAACTAATTTATCATGTAACATGAAGCTGGTTAATGAAGTGTGTTGTCAAACACCAGACAAATGATTTCCTTTATTTGTTACTGGTATTGGAAAAGAGAATCTCAATTCTGATTGCTCATATTCAAGTGGAAGGTGATTTCATCGGCTGTGCCCGCTGAGGCATTCTGTATTTTTCCGGCCGAATGTTCGGAATCAAATACAAACTATCCCAATTAATTCTCTTCATACCGGACCCTCGAATCACTGTTCCAACTGTTCTCAACTTTTCATTGCAACCCTTCTTTATTTTATTTTGTTTTGTTTTCTCCTTTTCTGGTTTAGGCGCGTTCCCCTGCCTGCTGAGCCCTTGTTAAAATCGTTGTCTGTCCCTCCGTCTGTTGACATTTAACAACTCGAGACAGGATGAACAGATTTTCGTCAAATTTAATATTGGGGAGTTTTACGAAACATTGTCGAGCCATTTTCATTTAGATCCGACAATTTTAATGACGAATTTATATCAATAAAATGTTCTTGTTCTACGCCTAATGTAATTAATTTGTTGTAACCGTGATGACGTGTTGTTCTTTCTGTGAGGTACGAACTGAATTTTCTGTTTGCCATGATATCAAACCAATTCTGTTCTGCTGAATGTCCTTTCTCTTTCGCCTGGCCTGTTTCTTGGGAAGCATAAAAATTCAACATCCACGGACTAAAAATCTAAAGTCAGTAACTGAGTTAACACGCCAAATGTATTAAGCTATGCATGCATTTGTTCACTATTTTGTCGGTAAAGATTTTGAAATTTAATTTACTTTACTCGTTTAATTTGCAACCGTCCCCCCCCCCAAAAAAAAAAATCTAATATATGGTGCATTTTTGAAGCGATTATGAAAAATAGCTCAAAAGTTTGTATATTTTAAAGTGATTATGAATAGTATCTTATTGTTGCCTGTACGGATGGCGTATTAATAGAGGCAGTTATCGCCTAAAATCTGTCAGTTGTAAATTAAATAAAAATTATCGCTATTATGTTCAGAGTAAACTTACAACGTCATATTAAATAGAAAGTCTTTATTCGCTCCTTTATTTAACTGAAGAGAAAAACATCGCTGTGTGTTGGTGCCCTAATCCCATAGTTATAAATAAATCTCAGTCCCCTGCAGGTGTGAGAAATCCAATTATGTTCTCTGCACGAGATTAATCGATTTGGCCGACAGAGTGCCTTACTAGTGCCGTGCTTTATGTTGTTTTAAGTGATTATAATCACCGCCATATTATCACATGTTTGTCACTGAGCTTCAACTCCGGATTCTCCGTGGATTTAATTAATCGAGACAATCATTAGAAGAATAAGAATTGTGATTGGTAGTGAAATTATCAGTATCACGGCCTTAGCCAGTTAAAATAGTTAAAACTGTTCCATCTTTTTATGGGTTATCTCCTAACATCTATACCGTGTAGGATTTGAGGTTTTCAAGGCAGTGAGTACGAAGATGGCTGTCTTCTGCGCCGTAGAGCCGTGTAGTCTGGTAGAAGTTTACCAGAGTTTTAGAGGTCGTCTGTTAAACAGACTTTGACAAGGCCCCAGTGTTCAAAAGTTAGAACATCTTATTTCTGTACCAATGCACAGTGAAAAAAAAGCTGCTTCATTTTCCGGTAGAAGATCCAAACTCGCCATCTCACAGTTTCTGGCAGTTTTTAAATAAGCTACAATACACGTAGCCCATAATCCGAGATGAAAGTTATTTTGCGATTCCATACTCTCATTTTTCCGCTAACATAATTAAGAATTTATACCACTTTTGAGCGGAAGAATATAGACCTATAATCGGATAGATTGTAAATCACTGAGAATTCTTGGGAGACGTGAAAATAATTGTGCCGACATTCACGTGTAATTTAAAACGCCTTCATACGAAACTGATCAATCGGCCAAGTCATCTGTATCAGATGACTGCCAGCTTCAAGGTTAGACGCTCTCGTAATCGTGTATTTGAGTTGATGGATGTATTTTTGGACAGTTCAGAACATTAGTCAGACAGAACTCTAATTTTCCCACTTTGATCAGAACAAAAAGGTTTTCTTTTTTTAGCTCGCATCGCAATGTGTTGATGAAATTTCCTATCTTGCGAGAAGATTGAAGCTAATATAATTTACCGAAGATCTGAAAAAAACTGACCACAGCAATTACATACTGTGGTAGCCTTCTCTTTCTTAATTTTTATTTATGTTCACAGCTCCAACAACTTCACAAATATCAGTATTATCAACTTAAAAGTGTGAGAACTTCTGATATGGGAAAAGCACCAAGTCCATTCAATGTTAAACAGTGACATATTCTCTGAAAAATATGCGACGATGTTTGTTGAAGTATTTTAAGTTGAATGATCTCTCTTCTTTACACAGTACAGAATAATGCTTATACCGTCATGGTTATAGTGTTTACTGTGCTACGGATATAATTGTTAATAGTTGTTATTCAGTCGCCGCGGAGTTGGGATAGTATTTCGGTAGAGGAGGCTTTGAAAGTCTCGACCTACTATTACAACTTGCTTTATTTTTCGAATTGTGTAATGCTGTGTGATTAATTTATTAAATCGAACTAATTTAGTTGTACTTTATTAGAATACGTTTTGTTATAATGACGTAACCGAAGATTCCGTTTTCCAACATTGTGCCATCAAATCAAATTGAAAGACTACAGAATCAGTCCAAATTTATCACCTGAACGCGAACTAAATCTTACTTCAACGAGACAGGGAATTTCATTGCTAGGTGCTTTAGCTGCATGGACGGTTTATTTAATTGTTATCAATACAGAGATTACAATGGAAAGTTCGTGGTGTAAATAAATTTAAAGAAGGAAAAGAAGTCGATGAAAATGACTTTTCCGACCATGTAGTCGTCTTTCGAGATGTAATTACAGCCTAATTGCACTGTGGGGGGGGGGGTGTTACAAGATGGCGTGAGAAGACATTCTACCCTCATTTACACTTTTCTGGAAAAGTTAAAGCCCTTTACTATTTGGATGGTACATTTTGGCTTTACAGACTTTGCCTTTCATGAATCATAATTAAGCAAATGTTTTCGCTGCCTTCTGCCGGTTTCGCGATGTGTGGTGTTCCAATCAGTTTGGAGGAATCAAACCGTGAAATTAATTGCATTATTGTATTCTTAACCATTATTAAAAATTACATCTATACATGTGTGATAATACATGTATTAAAAGATGACGGAGATGAGAGACGAATAGAAATGATTATTCAGAAAATCTGAAGAGATCTGTTCATTTCAAGGCTAGGAAATTGCTCTCTTTGAAAAACACTGAAATTCCATAAATTTTCTTTGCGCCACGTCACTGACACTGACGTCAGCAGGCCAACCGAGGGAATTGTTGTCACAATGTGAGCCAACAGTGGCTTCGGTTCACAGTTTTGCAAAAGTGTGTTCCAGAAGTGGCTTAGGCTTATGTTGGCAGCCTAGTTTCTAGGAAAAACGGGACGGACAGATAGACATAGACTGCCCCATAAGTTATTTGCTCAGGTTCAGGATAAGTACTAGTAGCAGGGTCTTGTGAGTACATTGAGTTCCATAGAGCAGGGACATTCTTCACAAGTCTGGCGAATGTTGTCTTACCTAAATAAGTATTCAAAAAAAGTAAACCTGCTTATGATAGAATCGTAAGTGTCAATTGCTTCTATTTTATACTAGTGGCTTTTTAAAATAAGCTGTTGCCTCAAGAATTAGTAACATAAGTCACAATTCAGACCGCATTGCGTGTGCATATGTGTTACTGAACAAAACGCGTTTTCTGTGTGTTCAGGAATGTTCCTTGTCTTGAAATAAAATTATATGAATTGAAATCAACAAGCAATAAGACAGAATGCTTACCATTAAACTTGTAGTTTTCTTTTCGATTTTCGTTTTTTGAGAAAATTTTACATTTTTTTTTTAAATATTTGGGGGGGGGGGTGTTACAAGATGGCGTGAGAAGACATTCTACCCTCATTTACACTTTTCTGGAAAAGTTAAAGCCCTTTACTATTTGGATGGTACATTTTGGCTTTACAGACTTTGCCTTTCATGAATCATAATTAAGCAAATGTTTTCGCTGCCTTCTGCCGGTTTCGCGATGTGTGGTGTTCCAATCAGTTTGGAGGAATCAAACCGTGAAATTAATTGCATTATTGTATTCTTAACCATTATTAAAAATTACATCTATACATGTGTGATAATACATGTATTAAAAGATGACGGAGATGAGAGACGAATAGAAATGATTATTCAGAAAATCTGAAGAGATCTGTTCATTTCAAGGCTAGGAAATTGCTCTCTTTGAAAAACACTGAAATTCCATAAATTTTCTTTGCGCCACGTCACTGACACTGACGTCAGCAGGCCAACCGAGGGAATTGTTGTCACAATGTGAGCCAACAGTGGCTTCGGTTCACAGTTTTGCAAAAGTGTGTTCCAGAAGTGGCTTAGGCTTATGTTGGCAGCCTAGTTTCTAGGAAAAACGGGACGGACAGATAGACATAGACTGCCCCATAAGTTATTTGCTCAGGTTCAGGATAAGTACTAGTAGCAGGGTCTTGTGAGTACATTGAGTTCCATAGAGCAGGGACATTCTTCACAAGTCTGGCGAATGTTGTCTTACCTAAATAAGTATTCAAAAAAAGTAAACCTGCTTATGATAGAATCGTAAGTGTCAATTGCTTCTATTTTATACTAGTGGCTTTTTAAAATAAGCTGTTGCCTCAAGAATTAGTAACATAAGTCACAATTCAGACCGCATTGCGTGTGCATATGTGTTACTGAACAAAACGCGTTTTCTGTGTGTTCAGGAATGTTCCTTGTCTTGAAATAAAATTATATGAATTGAAATCAACAAGCAATAAGACAGAATGCTTACCATTAAACTTGTAGTTTTCTTTTCGATTTTCGTTTTTTGAGAAAATTTTACATTTTTTTTTTAAATATTTAGGCCTATTCTAGGGTTTATATTTAACCACATATTCCGTTTTAGAGGGAGTTAACTGTGATATGACATCTGCTTTACGCCAATAGTTACCTCGCTCCAACCAAGTCAGTAAGTTGAACGTTTCAAAAAAGCATCCTTATCTCCCGACTTCTGTACCTAGGAGCCACACAGTTTTTCGCCTCGTCCCTCCTTCACCTCTTTTGTAGAACACTTGTTCCGAGTTTTAAATCCTCTTCCAAATCCCACCTCTTCACTCTTTCATCCCTCCTTGACTCAAATTCTATCACTCCATTCGACCGGTCTTTCTCTTACAGTAGATATAAGCTCACTTGTCTCTGGAAAGAAGCTAGTCACTCTACAGTTCTTCGACTCTTAAGGCCGGAGATATAGTCGCTGCATTTAAAAGCTGTTAGCTAGTCAGCAAATTCTCCGCACTTTATGGAACCCGAAGGCCCACTATCGTCCTCAGGTCGCGTATGAAGAAGACGACGTTCAGACACGGAGGACGGATGTGAATATGCAGGATGATTGACCAGCTTAACGATTATTAAGTTCTAAATAAGGAATCTGTTATATTAATGTAGATATTTGGTCAATATATTTAATGAATTAAAGGAAAACACTGTAATATTTCTACTGCAATAGCATAACACTTAATTTGTAAAATGATTATGGACTGCCAACACCTAAGGTTTCCCTAAGGTATACAGCAATATCTGGAGAGCTCTTGAATCAATACTTGTTATAAGAGGATTTGTTGCAAAGCCAAGTCTTTGCCTACGAGAGTTTGTTATAGAGTGCCTTGCTGAAAGAGGCAACAACACGAGTTGACAAGACAATGTCTTGGTGATAAACAAGATGAAACTTTACCACGATACACTTGAATACTTAAAAAAACCCAGTGTGTCCATAAGACTCACGAGGTTCTGTTTTTCCGTGGGTCATCTGAATCTCGTAGGTGAGTGTTGTCATTTCTGGAATCTCATTTATTTTTCACAGTTCCATTCAGGGCCACGTGGTTTAAAGCGCGCTGTCATGGCAGACGGACACTGAGATTGCATATG